ATTTTCAGTTCTGTATTGATGTAAGTAAGCAATTAAAAATAGACAATTTACATCTTCAGAAATACATAAACAGCATTTTATGATATTGTGAATCACCTATTTTATACAACAAATAACCAATTTTATTACTGTTGGGGTTTTTCCCACTAAGGAAGCTTTCTTCTCTACAAAATGCTGCCTTTTTCCACCTGAGTAATTTTTTTTTAGCTTGTCTTAAGCCTCATTTTTCTTTTTGATGAATTATCTTGTTTTGAGGATAGTTCATGGGGGGATTTGAAAGTATCAAGTATTTCATGTTTTGCTACTCATCTCTGATTCTGTGCCTTGTTAGATTCACATTTCATATGTGAAATATGCTGGGTTATATTTTAAGCCAGAAATGTTCATGTGAATTATAAGGGATTTTATCAGGCATTAATTTTGACAGCTTTCCAGAGTTGTGGCTAGAGATGCCATTAAAAAAAAGTACATATACATATGCAGAGTGGAGGCTGATGGAGAGGAATGACTTGACCTGACTGCTTCAAACAGTAAAATACGTTACATAAATTAAACCCCTTGCATGAACACTACATAAACTTTGAGTGAAGGCTGTATGGCTACTAGAGAAATGATGCTTTTATTCTTCTTAAGCAAGAAGTTCTTTACTGTGAGAGTGCTGAGGCACTGGAGTGGGTTGCCCGGAGAAGTGGCGAATGCTCCATCCCTGGCAGTATTCAAGGCCAGGTTGGACAGAGCCTTGGGTGACGTGGTCTAGGGCGAGGTGTCCTTGCCCATGGCAGGTGGTTGGGGTTAGATGATATGAAGGTTCTTTCCAACCCTAACTATTACATGATTCTGAAGTCATTTTTTGACAGGATCAAATGCAAAGTTGCTGTTTAACTGGTGCTAAAACATAGGAGCGGTTGTCTTGGTGAATTTAAAGCCACAAATCTAGATCTGAAACTGAATATTGAAGAGTTTGAGTTTTTACATTTGGGAACAGACTAATCGAAGCACTCTTACCTCTTGGACACAAAATCATTGTTGACTCTTTAAAACCTGTTTGTAGTGAAGTTTGAATTTTTACCTGCTCTGAAATAAAACTCTACCTCCCATATTAATCTATGTATTGCTGTCTTTTAGTTATGGCTGTGAAACCAATGAATGATTGTAATGTAAGTGAAAAACTTCAATTTGCTTGGGGTGTAGTTACGATTTAAGGATGTTTAACTTCAAAAAAGAAAACAGATGTAATGCTTCTATGTATGTCTGATTTCTAAAAGGAAAGTTGGATCTTTCTGAAGGCATCCCAGGGGCACTCATAAATTCTATGTTTGAAGAGGTCACTTCTAGAATGTGACTAAACCAAACCACTTGGGTTAAGTTATTGTTGCTGAACTTGGACATCATACTTTGACTACTGAGATGTGATTTAGTTTTGTAGGGAGGGAATAAAATTTGCTTGACGTCTTCCAAATACTTGAGCATTTTATCAGGAGTTGCACAAGTCCTACCAAAGAAGAAAGGTGAACAAGTTTGGTAGGCACTTGCTGGTTTTAGCAAGACTCTGGTTTGTTTGTATTTACAGAATCCCTGTAAATATGTGGAAATACTACCACTTTTCTTCTAACTCTGTGTTGTTCAGAAGTATATCTGTAGTAATCATCATGATAAAGGAATCCTCATTCTTTGTAGTATTTTATACCTCAATAATTGGAGTTGTGTGCAGAATGATAGGGTTGGTAACTTCCCTCCCTGGAGGCACTTGCAGCTTAAAAGCAGCAGTGATATTTTAAAAGCTCTATATATGTAAATCAGGCAGATCAGAGTGATGGATAGATGTATTCTTAGTTTAAATAAGTCACTCTGATTTCCTTTGAGTGTCTTCAGCCTTCATGTGCAGTAGCTTTCTGTAATAGTAAATGCTTTTCTCTAAGGCTTGCACCATTGTAATGTAATTAAATAGTTAGTTTATGATAAAGTTCATCCAGTGCTTGAATAGTTGGCCTTCTGATACCTGGTTAGTGACTGTTGAATAGAAGGGAAGCTTAGTTCACTGTAGTCCAGTAGGCTTTTTTTTTAAGCAGAAATGATAAAGTCTAGGTGGTACTTCCTTGCTTGTACTAGAAGGAAGAATACTTATGCTGTGTGCCCCCTCTTACTACCTGGGTAATTGTCAGTATTACTTAAGGACAGAGTTCTCCTCCTTGAGCCATTTGAAACTATTTGTTATTACAACTGTAGAAGCCTGCCTAAGTGTTGTTAATCAGCCCTCCTACCTAGGGTCAGGTATTCTGCAGTGGTAAGCAAGTTAAGGCAAAGTAACTTAGGCAAAACATCCATGGCGATGCACAGGAGGCTGGGAAGTCTGTGGTAAAAGTTTCAGTAACAATACTGAAACACTCCCATGTGCAGCATAGGGTTCTCCTGTACTTCAGCAGTACTGGAAGTCAAGTATAGCAATCACTTTTACAGTGTGAAAACTGAAGTTGTGAAATGAGGCAGGACTTTACAGTGTTGCAAAAGACGGTTATTAAAGACCTCAGAATTGCTTTTTAATTTATATACAAGTCAGAAAACGTTTGCCATGCTGCTGAATGCTGTGTCAGGCAACAGATTCCCTGCTTCAGCTTTTTCTCCACCTGCAGAACCGGTGGCAATATGTCTCTAAAAGTGTGTATTTACATTTGCTCAATATTATATGTAAACAAATTATATAAGAGAGGCTCTTCATAGCAGCATATTAAATCTTAATGCTGTTTTGGGAACTGAGACAGTATTTCTGTACAGCCTATACAACTCTGAATTGCAGAATACCTTCAGAAAACTATTCAGCATTAGGGTCTTAATAGGGACTCTTCTGACTGGGACCTATGTAGATAGTTCTGAGGCTGTTAACTGGTTCCTATTCATGCAAGATGTGGTAGACAAGTAGTACTCCAATGCTGGCTGTGCAGAAGAGCTGTGCTGGTTTTCATAAAGTCAAATAATCCTGTTACTCCTTTCTTCTATTTCATTAGTCCTAGCTAATGCAGTATACCATGGAGAAGCATCAAGAGTAGGCACCACTGAAAAAGGAAGATAGGAAAGCATGATCAGATCAAAAAAACTTGGGTGATAAGAGCACGTGTGGGTTTTTTAGATGCCTATTGCCTAATGTGTGTCAGTATTTTTCTTCTGTTGATGTGCATGATTCAGACTTCTGACTAATTTTTTATTAAATGCAAAAGCTATTTCTGACTCTACAAATGATTTCTTAATGCTTTCTTTATATTGTTCCTTAACTTTCCAGTCAACAGAGAATAAAATCCTATTTATTGGTGCAGTTCAAATGTGATTGTTAGTTCTGAAAGAAACTCTTTTAGTTAAAAATGTTCTCCTCTGTTTTCTGGATACATCTTGTCTATTTAATAGAGACGGCTGCCAAGCTTTGACTTCTTTTGGCAACTGCAAATCTAATTTGCATTTCTGCATCAAATAGAACCTTTTTTTAGTTGAAATTTTCAGCAGGAATGTAGAGGTTCTCTTTTTATTTAAGAGTTTTGTCTGCCTCAGCAGCAGCTACAACCTTTTTGCTCATCACTGAAGATTGCTATGCTAACATCTGATTGATAGATGCGTGGAGTTAGGCTTCTCTCACCAGCTCATCGACTTAAAACAAATGCTGCCTTATGCTGCTTTATTTTTTTCTGATGAAGCTTAAACTATAAAAAGCTAACAAATGGGATGAAACCAGTGATTTGTTTCTGCCTACCATATCCAGTCCTGGTTTTAATGTAGAAGAAAATGCTTTTGTGTTAATTTGGTATAAAAACAAATGCTGTTCATCAAGAGGACATACAGCTCAAGTAGGCTTGAGGAGATGCAGTGGTATTATTTTTAACTTAAATTGAATTGTCTTTCCATTCAGCAGCTGTAAGGAAAATATGCAAGCAAGGTAATGAATATGGCTGCATTATATGTTAGATTACTTATACAGATGAGTTATATAGACAGGAGGGGTTTTTATACGGCCACCTTATCGCACACAGGGGAGTAACGCACTTTTTTTCCACTTAAGCATATCATCAGAAAAACTTCAGACTACCAAAAAGGAAGATTACTCTCATGGTCTTGTAGAAAAACTTTATATAGAGAGATATTCCTGTTATAGAATAAGCTTGGCGTTCTTTCAATCCATTTTGCCAGCACATTGGTAAAATTAGTATTTTTTCATATCCTTAAGGGGATGGGAGTATCAGTGGAAGTCCAGTTTTAATTTTGTTCTATCAACTTGGAACTGCCTTAGCTCTGACTTACTTGGATTTGATAACACCACCATTAGAGCTGTGTGAGGCTCTTTATTCTTTTGATGGTGTCATGGTTTTGTTATGATCATGCAATCTATAAAATGCAGCTAAATATTCTTAATATTTTCCTTTTAAACTCACTTTCAAGGCATACCAGAGCAGTCCTTAGTAAAAGCTGTAACTTGTGCTGCATTTGTATACATGTGGCCTGTTTGGTTCTGTTCTGATAAACCTAGCCTGATCTCATACGCTTTTCCAATATTAGACTTCAACTAAAACTCAATAGTTGTAGATGTCTAGGTGAAGTAGAATTAGATTCTCCTCTTTTATATAGTTCTTGCTCGCTTGAGCAAATGTTACGAGATTGTCATGGTTGGATTGAGGTAGTCAGCCAAGCTTTGAGGAAACCCAGTACTCCTGTGTGTGAACCGCACAGAAGTGATGGTGGGATCTGGTCACTTTGTGCAGAGCTCCTAGGTTTAATCTTTGTTTTCTCACATTCTGTTTTATAAATAGACTCAGAAGAATATTGTTGCTATGTCACTTCTGGAATATTTCAGTGCATGGAGATGCAGTCTTTAAAATACACTGCAATGTTTTGTCAAGAGCTGTCCTAAAAGCCAGAGGTCTCAGTCTTTTGTATCTCTATTCTAGTTCTGTTGAACAGTTGATTGCTGTGTAAAGTATCAGTGCAATTTAATAAGACTTGCTTTCTTTCTGTTTTTGAAGGACTTGGTAAATATTGAGATGTTTTTGACTGCTAAAGAAGTGGAAGAGTCATTGGAAAGACAAGAGACGATGACTTGCTTGGCTTGGTGTCATGATAACAAATCCAGGCTTAGAAAAATGAAGGTATGAAAATATAACATGTTCATGTTTTGCTTAAATTGTTTTCTAAGTGTTTTCTAAACTACTTGGATATTTGATGTGGTCAATTTGGTTTAAATTATAGGTCTTGAATGAGGCCTTGTATAAGAGTAAGGACAGTAAGTACAATACTTTCCTTTTAAGAAGACATAGGTTGATGGAGCTACACTAGCTCATGCAAATGCCAAACCTGAAGCTGGGCGCAGGTGATTTTATGGGTGCAAGTGTTGTCTCAACAAATTGTGCTCAAATAAACTAATAACATTCAGCTGGTTTCAGTGTGACTTACACGTGTAAATGCTGAAGTATGCAGTGTCTTGTGCATGTGAACTTACATTTATGATTCTTTGCATCCTGCTGAGAATATAACTCAGCTTATACATGAAGATATTTAATGGTAAACCAGTGTCCACATGCTTAACATTGAAAGGTATTTCATATAGTTTTTTGCCTTAGTATTTAAGTGTTGCATATAAGAAAATAGAACTTGAGGAAAGAACTAATTTTGTGTGAGAAACTATTACTGAAATGCTTTTCCAAGAATAACAGCAGAGTGTAATCAAGTAATAAACACGGTAGGTCTTTCTCTAGCCACTGAATACCATGACCTGAACATGCTGCCTACTTGTTCCGACGTAGTGGGTTTAAATTCCCTTGTCTCTTAAATTGTGCCTTTCAAACCATGCTGTAGTCTTCCATAGGGCTTGCAGAAATCTGTTTTTAACTGATATTAACCAAAATCCCTGCCTCCCTCAACAGCGTTTGTGTCTGATCTTTTTAAGCTAAGCGCTTTCTTTAACTAAAAAGTGTTCAAGTGCTGTTAATAATAAGCAAAGAGTGACATTCTCTGTCACTCAGGGGCGCCAAAATGAGAATGAACTGAAGATGGGATGCAAAAGTAAATCGACCAGTGATTACTCTAAAGACAGTGATGATCTTGTTATGGAAGCCTTTAAAGGAAAACCAGAATTGGTATGTAACTACTGCATAATTATATTGCTAAAAAATCCCCCTTGTGTAATCTTTAATATATTAAGTAATATAAGAAAGAAAATCTGAACATCTTTTTCATCACCAAATCTTCAATGAATAATAAATAAGGAACATCCTCCCCATCCCTCTTTTTGTAAAACAATAAAAATATTTCTGCAAGCCCTAATTTATTTTTTTTTTCCTAAGCCAAGCGAAAACCAAAACTGAAGTTGTGAGAGATCAGCGTTAGAAGAGGAGAAATCACTATGCTTCTTTTTTGCAACACAAATGAACAATTCTTCTGTTTCTGGTTGCTTAGCTACTCATCAGTGTTAATGTTCTAAAATCCCAGCCACCACCTTAATGCAAGCCTAAGCTAAAAATTAAATGGTATGTTGGCCTGGGAGAGCATTTACAGACTTACGGTCTCTACAGATGTGAGCTGTGTAAGCTGTGAATACGTGCTGTGGAATTGTTTGAAGATACACGAAGTTGAGGTGTATGCATCACCTGATTGTCTAGGGCTCTTTAGTTACTTGTCTGCAGAGCCCATATAGCCATTGGCTTGCAGCTTACTTCAAGGTTTATAAAAACAAAACACAGTCTCTGAAGATGGTTTTGGGATGCGGTGGGGTTTTTTGCTGTTGAAATATCTTAATGAAATAATAAGCCCTAGGATTTAGTATCATTAACAATTAAAAGCTTGATTGGTTTTGTCATAGAAACAAACTGAACTAAAATTCTCTGTGTGGGTTTGTGTAGATTGAGTAACAGTATTTTACGATAGTCCTGTTTGAAAATTTAAAATAATAAATTCTTATTCTCTGCTAAACATGGGCTTTCCTAAACATGAGGAAAATGCATAGCTAGAAAACAGTTTGCTTTCTGTTCCTTAAACGTATATATCTTAACATCTATGCACAGAATGCATCATTTTTACGTTCAAATGGGTTACATTTCAAATCTGAAAAGAAACTGTTTGTTGCAGGGTGTGCAGTAGTCCCCCCAAGCAGTTAACTGATAGATTTGGAGTTGCTCAAATTCCTGTCGAAGTCACTGAGGAATTTTGATATTACTGTGCTGATGGACAATAAACAAAAGGCAACTGTTCATTAGAAGCATGGGGAAATAAAAAACACTTCCCGAATGGAGCCTGATAACTCGGGGAATACAACTCCTCTCTAGATTCGGAGGACTTTGGGTTGTCATTGTTTTCTTAAGGTATTAAAAGAGTTGACTGTGTCCCTATAAAGAAGCATAGCAACTTGTTCTTTGGGGGGGGACAATCTTTTTAATTCCACATATTCCAAGCTGGTTTATAGATTTTGTGAACTGGTGATGGAATTTGATTTAAAGGGACACTGTCAGCTTCATTAGGCTTCACATTTTACCTTTTTCCAAAAGAAACAGGTAAATGCCACTTGGTTTTCTTGTTTGAGACTTGTTTCCAGCATGGCTTTTTAGATCTTTGCCAACAAGAGCGGGATAGAAGTTTCTGAAGAAAAGGAGGGAGGAGATTGCAGCAATGTGAGCTCTGTGCTGGCTGTTGTTAATATTGGGGACTTTCAAAGTAGTGTTCAGACTTGTTTCTTCCTTGCAGTCTTTGGGTAGACCTCTTATTTAAGTTATCACATAGCCCTGAACTTGTGTTGAATCTACTACTTTAAGTTGTAAGAAAGTAAGAAACCAGTTGCTTACGCTCACTTGCATCTCAGGTAACGATGCTTGTAGTCATTAGGAAAAAGTTTATCCCTGCTAAAGACTGGAGTTTTGAAGGAGGGAAAGAGGAGATTTTTGTTTGCTTTTAGGGAATTCTGGGCTGATGTCTTCTCCACAGAGACAGCATTTCAATTGCATGAATGCCTAAAAGCAAGCAAACAAGGTTGCATGTTATTAATGCTTTCTTTTTTTTTTTGTTGTGCACATGTGGTATTTAACATACTTTGCAGTGCAGTTTTGGCACCATCTAAAACCCTGTCTTGTCTTTACTCTCAGAGCTGTCTGGAGTTCAGCCTAAGGATTCAGGAGTTCATCGAACTCATTCGACAGAACAAGAGACTGGATGCTGTGAGGTATGAAATCAGGGCGCTTACCAAAGCATGTTCTTAACAAGACGGTATCATGCTTCATTAGAAACATGTTGCAGCACCCAGAAGCCCCACTCCTGTAATGGATCTTACTAGTGTTGTAATCAGTCTTTGGATTTAAGCTGGGATTGCATTTTCTTCTTAAGGCCAGGTGTCATTCCACAAATGCACCTTTTGACAAACTTTAGTTGTCATTGAAATTTGGTATCTTCTTACTTTTATAAAATAATGGTATTTTCTTGTGGCATACAATGTAATGACCACATTTACCCTTATCCAGTTTCCAAGAGGAGCAGCTCACTTCTCATAAGAACTCAAGTTTTAATTGCAAAATACTAATAGGTTAATGAAACACCCATCTAAAGTTTAACATTTCAATTTTTACTGAGTCGTCTTCTGTTTTACTATCTTCAATAAACTTTTTGTTCTGTAAGTTGTGCTTTAGGTCAGGTTCACCTTTTGTATTGAATGGAGTTCTCTATTGTCATGTCTGTGAGACCAGCGAGCTGTGTTCTGTTATTCCCACTACTCCCTCTCCCTGGACCAAAATGAAGAAACGAGTTCAATATCCATTTTCACCTCTTTTGAGCTAGTTCACTGAGGGCTAATTTGAGCAGTTTTACTTTCTTCTCAAGGTGGTATGAATTAGACCTCATCACTGGCTGACTTCAACTACAAGACAACCTTTATGGCAATACTTATAAATTGCTTCATGTGCTGGTATTATGCTTTAAAGGTAGTGATCCTGATTTAAGGTGTTGCAGTAATGTAGCAGGATAACACAGGAAACCAGTTCTGCTGAACTGAATGGAATTCTGATAGTGGGACTGTAAAGTGTGTCGATAATTCTGATAAGCGGTGATCTTGCCAGCACCACAAAGTATGCTGCAGGTGGCAGCTTACACATGGACAAGGGAGGGAGGAACTCACAGCAGGTTCTGTTTTAAGAAGACTTAAATTTCTGGAGAAATGACAAGCTTTACAGCCAGAACTGAAGCTTTGCTGGTACATTCTGGTGATCGCACTGTTGCTGCTTAACACTTCTGATAATCTTTATGTTAAGGGAGTTTCAAGTCTTCCTGCCTTTAGAAACCATAGTAGGTGCTCCAGAAATTGAAACCAGCAGGAAGGAGCTTGTATTTATGGCAAAGTTCTGTGCTGGTCAGGAGCACAAAGCTATAGAAAACATAATTTATCATAACATGAGCACAGGCTGAAAGCATTCTAGCTCATTCCCAAGTTTTAGATGTAGAAACTTTTGCAGGGCAAACCACATAACTTTTCTTGAATACAATGGGCGCCAGAGTTATTTAAAACAAGAATAAAGGAAGTTAAAAGAAGCATGTGGAAAGGCCAGTCTAATACTACCACCACTCCCAGAATTACTCACCTGAAGTTTTCGGCTTATTTTCAGTTGCTTATTTCTAATTGCATTCAAATATGTTGCTCCCTAACTTGTATCATTCCTACTTTGCCCTACTTGGACCTAAATCATTGGTTTGATCCCAGCCAATGCAAATGTGCAATCTGATAAACTGTAGCTAATTTTAATGTTAATAATTAAAAACCCAAACACCTACATGCTGGCTTTTAGAGATGTGCAGCTACCCTTTGATGGAGTTCTCAAGTCCTAAGGACTTGTCAGGTACTTATGAAAAGGATGAAAGGCACTCAATGACATTATCTATCTTCTGAAGTCCACAGTGTTCTTTATAGCCAACGGATACTGTGCCTTTGTGCCTTTAGCCTCATTCTCTGCTAAGTTTACTTCTCTGCCAAATGTGCAGTCATGTGTCTTAACAATGAGTAGCCCATGCTCTGAAAACTGTTTTCTTTGAGTGGCAGCTTCCTGATGTAGGTTGGAAAGCAGAGGGCACACATAGAGCTGAAATAAGGTGATAGGCTGAGAACTAGGACAAAGCAGATAAGGTTTATTGTTGCTACTGGATATTTGTTTCCCTCTGATCCCTTTTCCACACTGGAACTGTTAAAATTTGCAAGTTGTCAACCCTCAAGAGGACCAAGCACTCCTGGTGCAGAATAACTTGTGCTGTCATGGTCTCTGAGGTTTAAAAATTACAGCCCCATCTACATTGCAAATAGGCATAAGATATTCAATGTTGTTAGGGGTGAAGCATATATATTGCATATACCTATTGAAATTCAGGGTTGACATACATCTTGTACTCAGCAATTATAAATTGCCAGTCATAACAATGCTGCCTTGACTTCATAATGACTTGTAAAATGAAAAGGAGCCACAGAAGTTCTGTATCTCAATCCACTCCTTTTATCAGGGTGAGTTTTGATAAATAGGTACATTCAGAGTTCAAAATCTCAACACTTTCCTTAAATAATACGGCTCTAAAATGTTAGATTTTACTATTCTCCTTTGCTTCAAAATGAATATGTAATGGAAAAAGGAATATATTTGGGGAAGGTGTAGCATAAATCTCATTGCTTCTAGCAAACTGTTGCAACTTGTGTTTTTATTAGCTTGCTTCTGTTAAGTGCCTGCAGCAGGATTCTTTCAGCATTGTGTCCGTGGCGCAATAAATAGGTCAGGCATCCATTAGAAAGCAGAGAAAGAGGCTGTTTACCAAGTAGTTTCCTGTACGAGTGGAACTCAGAGAACTGACATTTTGTTGAAACGCAGCTGGTGTTTAAATAAGTTTGAAAGCTTTGCTTGCTGCCTGCTGAGAACCCCTAAAGTGACACATTGCTTTTAGGTTAGAATTAATGTGAGCTTTAAAAGCATACATCTCGCTAAGTGAGCGTTTGAATTTCTGTAGCATTTTAGAATAGGAGTACAAACAGAGCTTCCTCTAAGGTAGCTCATCAGAGTGGTCTTGAAAGTGCGAGTTTCAAGAATGTACGAAAACTATTCCTTGACTACAAAGAAGAAGTATCTTAAGCTTCAGTGCATCAAAGGTTTTGCCTTGTATCATTCGGTTTTAACTCCCACAGTCTCCTTAGGTCTTTCTTGTAAAGCTCATACTTATTAGAGTAACAATGAATGACTGATGACACTAATTTCACACAGTCGGGGCTCTCACTAATTTCATCCTGGGAAATCTGACAGCATTCTACTACTTTGCTTTTATGGGATGCCAGAGATACACGGAGTTCTTAGCTAAACGCTTAACAAAACACCCTGTGCACTTCTTGTTCTTGGTTATAAAGGACAAAAGGAATAAATATAGCTGATGGTGCATGGGGATAAGAAAAGGTTGCCACAGTCTGTTCATCTTGGTAAACTTCTATAAGGCTGAATAAACAGTTTGTTGTGGGCTGGGGCATGGGGTTTGGCAGGAGTATAGAAAGAAAACTTCTGAGCACGCTGAGTACAAATTTTTCTGGTAGTCATAATGGTCCCTGAGATAAAGGCATTCTGGAGTCAGTCAAAAGGCTGAGCAGAAGAACAAGTCCTTTCTTGATAACACCTCATACTTGTGTTCAGTTATTGCTACTTCCTGATAAATAGGTTCATTCTTACATTCAGGCATACGTAGCTATAACCATACAGTGCAACTTACACTTTATTAACAGTTTAATGTACCTTTAGTAGACAGTGAACTGTAAATCAAGTCTTCATAAATATCCTTTCACTCTTGGATTTGTCAAGTGCAATATGCCTGCCGTACCCACATGGGGTACATGGAGGGACAGCCGTTTCAAACAAAAGATGATGGACTTTGTCCCCACAGAGTTTACAGAATCGGTTTGGGATTTGGAGAAAAAACTATTTCTGCCTATTAATTTGATCTGTCAAAAGAATTCTGTGGTTTAGTGATGGTCTCCTGGCTCTGGCCATACTGACTACTGTGTGCTAATGGTGGTTAAAACATGGTAAATAAACATTTTAAGGATCATACATGCCTCCAAGAACACAGCGCTTGCCCAAAGTGATGGAAATAGCTGAATGAAAAGAGAATGGATGAATAATGGCATGATGGCAAATAAGGTGTTCTCTAAACGTTGTGCATTCACCAGTACTCACATAGTGCTGTTTCTTGCTTCCCAATCTAAAAATGACTCCAGAGTGCTATGAATTAATGAACGTGCTTCTCTTTTAAGGGTACTCTTGCATATTAATTTATATGTGCTGGCACTCGGAGGATGAAGTTCAGACACTGGCATGGCAGGCCTTGTGGGGAAAATAGGCTTATTGTCTTAAGGGGCATAGGTGGAAGGGAAAGTCAGAAAATGAAGACTAACAGAAGGTCTCTTTAGAAGACTTAATTCCTTCTGGCTGACCCCAAAATGGCCACCACATCCCAGTGTTCCGTACTGTACAAATGATGGAAACGCTGGCTTTCTGGGTGTTTCTCCTTTGAACAGTTAGCACACAGGGATTATATATCATACATACACAACATCAATGTTGATTCTAGCTCTTCCTGAACATGTGGAGTAAGTGTGGGCAGTATTTGCCGGTTGCAGCTCAGGGTCTTCCTGCAAAAAAGTGGGTCATATTGTTGGAATGCTGTCTCTAAGAGCAAACTGTGAAGGCCTGGTGGGAAGTGGGACCACAAGGCTGGTGCAGAACTAAACATCTGCTTAGTTTTAACATAACAGAGCACAAGTGCACAGTGATAATTAATCTTAACTGATTTTTCTTCTTCTCCATCCTTTTGCTTTACTGGTAGGTCTGAACTTTCTGCTTTGCCTCAGCTTTCTTCTAAATAGCTCTTGCTTTCACCTGCAGCTCTGCACTAGCACTTACTTTAGCTTTCTCCCAGTATGTCCAGGCTGCCAAGTCTCTCCTCTCAGGCCATGGGTTTTGTACTTCTGCTCTCATAACAGTAATCACCTGGGGAACAATATTTACATTCCTGAATTGCTCACCCGAAATAGGAAGTTGGGTGGAAACAGTCTGTCCTACATAACTTCCATTGTTTCCTGGTTTGGGTGGGAGAGGAAGTAGGAGTACTGAAACACTGCTAAAGAGACTGTTCTCATGGTATTGATGACCTAAGTGTACTTAGTAGAACACAGAATTGGGGGGGGGGGGCGATGACTTTATTTCTTTAATTCAATACATGAAATGGGCAATTGGAAAAACCTGTATATTCCTAAAAGTAATTTGTAAGTTTAAAAAGACTCTTTATAAGAAGAAACACCAAAGCTCTTAAGACATAACTTGGTATCTTCCCCATAATGCAAACTGTGGAGAAAATACAGCATCACGAGAGTTTTCTACACTAAAGCAATGCTAGAAGTTCAATATAGCACTAGTTCTATGCTCAGTCTACTGTGCAATATCTGTGCACCACTGAAAACAGGAACTTCAGCACAAATGCTGAACTAATCATCCAGTTTAAAGGCTAAAGGGTATTCCTGCACACTTAAACTGCACCTTGAAAACTGGTGATCTTGAAGACTAGGTGGGGGAGTCTTCCAGGCAGGGTTTTAAAGTAGCTGAATATCTTTATAATCTGATGAGAATTCTCTGGTTTCTTAGTATTAATTTCCTGAAAACCATGAAAATTTGTATTTTTACTTTAAGTTTCTGGGAATTCTGTCACTTCTTTCAAGTCTCCAAGTTTTAAGCTTTGCGTATATGTGCTACAGTCAGTGTGCTTTAAAGTACAAAAGCTTGTTCTGAAGTTCTACTTAAGGTTTTTATTTCCCTGGCAAAAAAAAATTTACTCTTAAGGTGTTTTCAACCACATTACCTTGCAATTCCTTGTAGTCTGCACAGAAAGTGATAGTGCTTTCTAGCCTATGAAAAGACTAAATCATTCCTTCAAAAGTAAACATTCTCTCAAATGTCAGTGTAAACAAGGTAGATATTTGAACGTTCTTAATGTTTAATGGTTTGGAATAGCTGATTATCAGACTGCATTTCTCTCACTTGGAAGTGGATGCCAAAGGAATAAATGTGATACGTTGAGCTTGCGTAAGCAGACGCATTTCTTCTAATAATTGTAGATCTGTCATCCTGGATGTAGGTGAGGTAAGACTTCATGCTACAGTAAGCTCTGGTTTCTAGAAATTACAGTGTATAACTGGGAATTCTCAGTCATTCTTGTATTCACATTTGCAGGGTGTACTTTTTCAAGCCATTCAAATGCATCACCTCTTGGAGTTCATGTATTGAGAGCAGAATCTAGAGTTTTCTCTGAAATCTTACATAATTATGTAAACTTCCTTGCTTTAGGAACAAGGCTGTCTAATAAAGGTATAAATTCTGTATTTCAGACATGCAAGAAAGCATTTCAGTCAGGCTGAGGGAAGCCAGCTGGATGAGGTTCGACAAGTGATGGGAATGTTGGCCTTTCCTTCAGACACTCATATCTCCCCCTATAAGGTAATGTTCTGTTTGAAACTCAGTGGTACAGCAGAATAATAAAATATAGGTTGCAGTGCTTTTTCCTGACAGGAAAATAAACTGATAATCTACAGATCAAATTATTGTTCCAAGTACTTTCTAAAATCCACCTTTATAATAGTCCTTAACTGTAATAACCAGTCCTTGCCTGTACATCAATCCGGGTAGTATTTGTGGTGTTTTAGCTGGATCTTAATAGTAACACAGATACACACCAACCTAGGTTTACCACAAGCCCAGTAGTAAAGATCTGTGGGACTGGAAGCATGATAAACTAATATACAGTAAGAGGTGGAAGATGGGGAAGTACAAAGAAAATCAGTTCTGTTCAAGATACTCGGCTGTGTCCTTCGTACACTAGCAGCAGTCCTTAATTCTACTTCTTTTGGGATGAAGAAAGGAAAGATGATTTGAATGCTCTGAAAGCAGTATTTTTGATGCTTAAAAGTTTGCTCATTTATTTGGATTATACAAATTAATGTAGATATTAACAGTAATATCTATATCTAAACTTGAATCAAGCAAAATTCATAGGTCGTAACTGTTTCCATGGATTTTGACTTTGTTCTGTGGTTATGTGCCAATTGACTTGGGTTTTTTTACCTTGGCATTGGAGACAGAAGGTAGACAAGAATCCTGTGAAATGCCAAGCCAATATGTGGCAATGCCAGTATAAATGTTTGTTAAACAATTGATGATGAAATCAATGGTTTAACAAAACAGACAAAAACCAAACCACAGAATTAATGTGAAATTCCTGGAGTCCTGGAAGGATCCTGGTATTATGGGTTCTACATCTGATGTGAGTTACAAGCATAAAGCATAGATGAGTTAGACTGCGTTTAAGACAGAGTTTGTTTTAGTAATTAGAAATAGTCAGAAATAAAACCCCTGTATTCTGTTCTAAGTATGAACAGAATGTTTCAGAGGGAGGTCAAGGAGAAAAGCAAGTATTGTCTCACATACAGCCATACAATTGGAACAAATTCCCTGCTACTTTTATGGATTGTACTTGAATGTTTCAAGTTTATTGAAGTTATGTTTTGGGTCCTCAGTTACCTACATAAACTGCATGCTAGTTTGGAAATGCCTTTGTTAGGCTGACTAGGAGTTCTGTGCATAAATGGCTTCTTAGAATGGCTTTAAGTAAAATAACTTCTAAGTCTGTGAGCAAGTTTGTCAGATCGTATCTCTAACTAGTTGATTTTTATTAATCCAAGGGAAGAAGTGTCTCCTATAATCAATGAATAGAAGCTTCTCTACCTCATTACCTATCCTTTAGTACTTTAAGGAAACCATATTTAATGTTGCATCAAGAGAAAATAGCTTCTTTTGCTATCCTGTGAACAAGTTTAAGTAGCTGTGGCTGGAATTATTCCAATTGGACTCTTAGTAAGCTGCTACTTTTGTGTTCCATCATCTAGGACCCTAATCACAGGCTTTTCTCAATCATTAATAGTACTTTCTTTATATCTCTTTATTATGGCTCTGTTGTAGGCTCTGTCTGTTCAACCTTCTCAAGAATTGCCTTGAGGTCAGAACAAAAGCTTCATCCTGGAACTCCGGGAACATTCTGGCCTTAGATGGGGAAGGTCATAGAGCAGACAGACGTGCAGGCTGGTGGCTGAAGTGGTGCTTTTTACCTTACAGAATTCTGCAAACAGTAGATATTACAAAGAGGTATCTGCAGAATTAGCTTGATTTGAGATAAGAAACACTTCTGACTGCTCAGTGTTGATGCTTCAGAGGCTACAGAGGAGACATTCCACAATGCTGGTGTTGCTCTATAAGCAGGCCAGCATTCTAGAAAGCTAAATGCAAGAAATAGCCTTACCAGGGTTTGCATCCCTTAGTTAGGATACTTGGTAGATGGCAGAGAGAAGACTGACTAGTAAACCAGCTATTTTAAATAATACTTGATTTAAACTGTGTTTCCAGTAAAATAATGTTAAAAGGTACTTCCGAAACAAGTACATTTCCATGCATTAGTATGTATACTTCTGGTTTGTGATGGATTCAGTCTAGTGGGTTTGGCACAATTCACCACTCCCAAGCTGTTCTCCCTTGGAACAATTACATTGAAAACAACTTATAGTTGTGTTGTTTTTTAACAGGATCTCTTGGACCCCGCTCGATGGAGAATGCTGATCCAGCAGTTTAGATATGATAACTACAGACTACATCAGCTGGGAAACAATTCTGTTTTTACTATAACACTCCAGGCAGGCCTTTCAGCTATAAAAACACCGTATCCTTTAATGCACGTATTACTGTCCAGTGCAAAAGAACATAGTGGGTTTTTTGTTCTATGGCTTCTGTTCAGAGAGCTCAAAGAGGAAATGTGACACTTGAATATTTTTGAGTTGTTTAAATGGATTCTGAACTAGTCTCTCCACTTAATTAAGGGGAGAGTATAATAAATGGCTTAAGAAAAGCCCAAACCAAAATTAAGGTGACATTTACATTGTGCTTGCGTAGTAGGTTGTATTTCCATATGCCTGAAGTTAGTGAATGTATCTGCACAGGTTAGTGAGATGGGGCAGAATTATTATTTTAAGCACTTACACACAAATTTACCCTGGGTTCATGTCAATATTTTAATACATTCTGCATCTTCTGAAACTTAGTTGGAATTGCTACACACTCTGGTGTAGATGACTGGTGTAACTGAAGTGTTCTAAGTCAGGAATTTTACCTGTAGAGGGTGCCGGACACTTGTTGCTCACTTTTGTTCCTTGAAGCACTTGATTCTTATATATACACTTTAAACTTGGGTTAAATGGTCCTGTGTATTCTCTAGCCTAGGCTGTATTGCCATAGTTCACTTTTTCCAGTGCCTCTCATTAACCATTGTAGCATTCTGTGTTGGTTGTTCCTTACCTTGCTGTTAAACAGACAGTGTTATAAAGAGGATGGGAGCTCAAAAAACCCAGACTGCCCTGTGTGTAGCAAATCCCTGAACAAGCTGGCTCAGCCCCTGCCTATGGCACATTGTGCCAACTCCCGACTAGTCTGCAAGATTTCGGGGGATGTAATGAATGAGAACAATCCTCCTATGATGTTACCAAATGGATATGTCTATGGATACAATGTAAGTGTTGAAACCAGTGACTTGGCGCTGCTGGTTTAGACTTCAGTTAGAGTAACTTTCCATATCCGAATGAGAGCTTATAAATGCAGTCAGAAAGCCAGAAGGATCTTCTGCATGAACAGCAGAAAAATAGCTTCTTGTAGCAGTTTGTAAAAGACTGTGTGCTTACATTGTTCCTTACAGAAGCTAATGTCTGAACATATGAGCCTATAGCATGAAATCAAATGGTATTGAGAGTCTTTCTCTGTGGGGAGTGATAATCATAGAATCAGAGCGGTTTGGGTTGGAAGGGACCTTAAAGGTATATAGAATAAGTAACTTTTGTGGGCAAAGGTATCTTGACCTCAGCCTACAACATCATATTTCTCATTTAACAAGTTTTTACTCAAGAGTTAAATAATGCTTTGAGTTATTACTGTGACTGTTACCTGTTCCTTTCACTCTTTTTCAGTCTCTGCTTTCTATTCGTCAAGACGACAAAGTAATTTGCCCAAGAACCAAAGAAGTCTTCAACTTCTCACAAGCTGAGAAAGTCTACATCATGTAGGTCCATACAACTCCTGATGAAGTGCCGCTGGAATTTTGACACAGTGTATATTGGCATACCCTGTACGGGGGGGGCCTTAATGTGTGGCAAAGAAGCAAAACCTGCCACCTTGGGGATCAGACCTGTCGGTGGCATTCTTGTTTCTTGCGACCAAAGATCAATAAGCAACAATAAACACTCTTTAAAAACAAAACAGGAAAAAAAAGAGAGGAATTGTGACTTAAGTTTGTACTTGAATAAAAATGAAAACGAATTTTGATTGTTAAGGTTTTGTAACAAGGTCAAAAATTGGACTTCTCAAAAGTATTTTCATCTTCTTTAAAGGATAAATTTCTTTAAAGATGGACATTTGCACTGGGGGAAAGGTTACAACAGAGTTGAAATGAAATCCATTGTTCTTCCCTCTTTTTTCACAATTGTCCAAGACCCTTTTGTTAGCAGAGATTTCAGTACTACCAATATGTTCTCCTTGAAGCTCCTCTTTGCCTTCTTTATGATCCTCTCGTGAAGTTCTCCTGAACATGAATTCTATAACTTATTTCTGTGGGAAGATACTGATGTCTTTGACGCAAGAGTGGCTTCTCTGGAGGATCAGCTTTGAAGGAGTACAAAGGCTTTTTCCAAACCCAAATCTTTTAAGGAGGTTGCATAAGTATCAAGAGGAACTGAGAACATTTCAGGCAAAATCCAATGCTTGTTTAAATGTTCTTTTTCCAGTCTACCATAGTGTTAAAGTCCTTCTAAAGTTCTTAGTTATGTGCATAGGGTTCAATATGAAATCATTAGTGCTACTGCCTTATTTCTTGCTTTGAGAATGTACTCACATGAAAATGAGCTGGTATTCTTAAGTGTTGGGCAAAGTTTCTGAAGATGCCTTGCAGGATGATTACATAATTTTAGGGTCTAAATAGTCTTCATTACTGAAACTAATAGTTCAATTTTAACAACTACAGAACACATCCTTATGACTTTTCAAACAGAATTAAACCATTGTAGTTTAAACAAAACCATATTGTAGAGGTTTGTATTTAGCGCTTATTTTTGCATGTTGATGTTGATTAGCTAATAAAAGATTGTAAATGTACAACATGTTAATAAAAATTGTTTTCCATTCCTTGGTTATATAAATACTAGAAAGCTGCTTTGTATTTAAATGTGGGAAATCAACCCTCTTGTAAGGGTCTTTCTTCAAAGGAGCACAACTTCTATGTGTTGTTTCTTAGTGTTCTACAGGATGTGATGATACACACCAAAACACCACCGCAGCTATACATGTTCTTGCTTTTCAGACAGTTCTTGAGCATTTTAGTCAAATAACTCTATTTGGTTTAGACTTTTCATATATGAACAGTCTGCTCCCAATCACCCATCTTTTTTTGTCACTTCTAGAAGCTTGCCTAATGTCCTAACGACTTTCTGATAATAACATGTTGTGGGAGGTGTTAGGTGCAAGGTTTTGATGCATGACCCAGTGCGTTAAACAATGCTGACAAATAACTCTATTCCTGCTCAACACACAGAGATCAGATACAATCCGTTCCCGAACCAGCTGCTCTGAAACTGTACACTGGCATTTCCAGCGAGGTATGGCTGAAAAGGCTCCATTTTCAGTAAGCAGGCCTGTTTTGAAGTGTCAGTATCACAGGAGCACTGCAGAGCCACCACCTTCTTCCTGTACTTAACCGCTGGAGGGGTTTGTCTCCCTTAGCATTTTCTTCAGTCACAGATTTAGTGATTCCTTAGACTAAGAGCAGTGTGCCAAGAGTAGGTGTTGGCAGAGAATGAGAGAACTTGCATCAGTAGCTGGTGTAATTGGCTATCAGTTAAGCAGTGTCGGATTCCCTCTTCCTGGAGCAAGAGTTGAAGCTTCATCAGCTCACAAGGGGAGAGGGTGTCACCCTGGGGCACAGCATTGCTTAAACTCAAGGGCAATAGCATCTGTTTTGCTTTGACAGGCCATTCACAGCAGGGGTAACTCAGGAGGCAACGTTGGTTTTCCTTACTTCACAGAAGAACATAGAAGGCCAAAGCAGAGAGGAAAGCGTAGATTTCTTATCAGCCCTGAGGAAATGTGTGGTAACAGCACAACAGTTGTAGGGTATGGAAATTGTTGCTTTTGTTTCTTTTAAATACTAGTTAGAGCTGTGGCTTCCTGAGATTTCAGCCCCTTTTTGCTCTCTGTGGCCTAAGCAGAGTGGTGGAGAAAGCCACGTTCCCAAAACAAATCATGTGGGAAGGGAGGAGAGGAGAGCAGTTGTCTTTATGGAGAGTATCACTTCAGAGGGACTGGTGCCAGCCTGAGCTCTGAACCGCCAATGGTGTGTCACAAAGATGGTGTTCCAGAAGGAGCAAAGGGGAGCTTTGGCTGTTTGTTAGCCAGGACTGCTTGCTTTAGGAACCTGCAGTCAACCAGCTTGTTCTGACTACAGCAAGACCTGTTTGACACAGGCAGTTGCAGCCTCCTGCCTGGCCCCTGTGGACTGCCCCCAGAATATGCTCTTCAAGCCTGGCTTCATCCTTGAGTTTACTTTGCCATGACTAGAAGCCTTCCAGCTCTATGAGTGTTGGAAGTGGTGTCAGGAACAGATTCATTATGGCTTGGAGTTCATTCCCTGACTGCTTTCTACAGCCTTGAGCTCCCAGCCCAGCAGAGCTGTCAGCTCATACCTTGTATCATGGGTGGTTTCAGACATTGAACCAAAGGCGGTGTGTGACTCCTACTGAATACAATCTTACTGCCTGTAAACACCCCTTCCATAACTGTTCCACCTGTGGATATGCCAAGAAGAGGACTTTGAGAGTAGGGTTTGTGTAATGCTGAAGGTGAGGCAGGGTTACAGAGGCTTTACTCAACAGTGGGAAGTTTGGTAGAGATCCTGTTAAGCCTGTCTCATTCTACTAAGATCTTGCATAGAGGTAAGTTCATAAAGCATAGGATGGGGAATCACACAACCTGACTGTAACCAGTTGTTGAAACTTCAGCAAATACAGCCATGACCTGCTAGATAGAAACTAAGCTGCTTCTGCCAGTTACGTGTCTTGGCGTGTTACCAGTGACGTCTGTGTTTTGTATCAATCAGAGTGACCGCTGCCTCCTTTAGCTGAGATTCCTTGGCTTTTTTATGGATAAGCTGCAGCATCTAAATCCCTGGCAGTGTGCCGAGCTGGAAGACAAAAGCCAATCCATCTGTGTCCTCAAAGGACAACGAAGGGCTTAGGCTCTACATTAACTAATCATAGAATCATAGAACAGTTAGGGTTGGAAAGGACCTTAAGATCATCAAGTTCCAACCCCCTGCCATGGGCAGGGACACCTCACACTAAACCATCTCACTCAAGGCCCCGTCCAACCTGGTCTTGAACACTGCCAGGGATGGAGCATTCACAGCTTCCCTGGGCAACCCATTCCAGTGCCTCACCACCCTCACAGGAAAGAATTTCCTCCTTATATCCAATCTAAACTTCCCCTGTTTAAGTTTTAACCCATTACCCCTTGTCCTGTCACTACAGTCCCTAATGAAGAGTCCCTCCCCAGCATCCCTACAGGCCCCCTTCAGATACTGGAAGGCTGCACTGATGTCTCCACGCAGCCTTCTCTTCTCCAGGCTGAACAGCCCCAACTTTCTCAGCCTGTCTTCATAACCTCTTCCATTTCTAAACTATCTCCTTTCAAGGTCTGGCTGAGCTGGAAATGAGCAATGTCCTTCACTGTGATGGTTTTTCAGTCCTGCCAAGCAATCTAACAAAATGAGACTTGAGGCTAGGGATTTTGGTTGTGGTGTTCCTCTTTGAAGGCAACAGTTTGTCGCCATTGTGGGCAGGAGAGGTTGAGAATTGCTTTCATCTCTCCTGTCTGTTGTGGTCCAAACACCTAAATGCTTCTCCAGTGTTGCAAAAGGAGAGAGGCGTGCTGGTGGCTATTTGCACTGGTAACCGTTCACGATGCCACAGGTCTCTCTGATACCTATTTCAGCTTCAAGTATTCCATGATCCACCAGGCTGAGAAGGGTTCAAGATGTGATCACATTTTGTAGGTAGGAAAGTAGTGAAGTTGATACCATGTTCGGGCAAAACATTTTGCAGGAAGCTGTAAAGAGTGACGGGCTGGTATGGTTTGGGGTTTTTTTAATAGAAGCATGTCCTTTTTTACTCATGAATAAGATCAATTTTATAGGAAATAAAGATCATTGAGGACAGGAAGAAATAAAATTGTGTCCAGTTGGTAGTCAAGGAAAGGAAGCCACCGAACATGCTTATCAGAGCACTGTTGAGGGAAAAGAAGTAATAGTGTGACTTCCTTCTTTTCTGCATCAGGTAGCCTGAGCAGAGTGGGTTGGGGGATGCACCAGACTCTTCTGTCAGGGCATGCTTTGAGGCTACACTATGGTTCTATGCACTGGGTGTCCTGTAGCACATGGAGGTCACTTGGTACAGCAAAATGACTGAATCAGTTCTGCCCTGTAGCAAGGTGTCAGGCTCTGCTCAGCAACGCTGTTTCTCCTTGCTGTGTCCCCGGAGTCTGCAGCAGGATGAGCACCATATCCCGGCAGCAGGCTAACGGGCCTTTGGGGCTTCCTGCTTCGGTTTTGTACCCCTCGGGCCAGAGTTCTTGGTTGCATTCTCCAGTACACTCCGCCTTGGGGCTATTTTGCTGTTGTTTGCCTGTCTGTGAAGAGTGATTTTTCCATGGTTTGACTTTCTGGTGTTTGGTACAATCTGCACCTTCAATGGCAAACCTGGGTTTTAGTGACATGTTCTCCCAGCTGCTCCATGCTTTCCAGTTTAGTGCACCAAATTAACCCCAGCCCAAATGAACTGATCAAGTCTGATCAGGACTGGAGCACCTCTGCTATGGAGCCAGGCTGAGAGAGCTGGGGTTGTTCAGCTTGGAGAAGAGGCGGCTACGGGAAGACCTTAGAGCAGCTCCAGTGCCTAAAGGGGCTACAGGGAACCTGGAGAGGGGCTTTGGACAAGGGCCTGTAGGGACAGACCAAGGGGAATGGCTTTAACGTGCCAGAGGGGAGACTGAGATGAGCTCTTAGGCAGAAGCTCTTCCCTGTGAGGGTGCTGAGGCGCTGGCACAGGGTGCCCAGAGAAGCTGTGGCTGCCCCATCCCTGGCAGTGTTCAAGGCCAGGTTGGACACAGGGGCTTGGAGCAAGCTGCTCTAGTGGAAGGGGTCCCTGCCCATGGCAGGGGTTGGAACTGGGTGAGCTTTAAGCTCCCTTCCAACACAAACCAGGCTGGGATTTGCTCAGCCTCCTATTCTAGGAAGTGTACAACATCAGGCAGCACAGTGGCTTCTGCGTATCTCTAAAGACTGCTGGTGTATTACGCAGGCAGAAACCCAGGTAACCCTGAGGAGTGGCCTGACAAATGAACAAGACTGGTTCAGCACTGGAGTCCGTTCAGCAATTCTTTAGGACCTAACCTGAGAGTGTCCTCATTCTACACTGTGATCATGGGGGGCTTTGAGCCTCCCATGTGCTGCATCCTTGGAACAGAGAAATGCAACCCGAGTGTGGTGCTGCCATCAGGAGGAAGTAGCGAGGGCTATGAAGGGGCCTCATGCCAAGCGGCTGGAAGCTGGAGTAGGGTCCTGCTTGTTCATGTCTGTTCCTCTTACACTGGAGCTGGAGCAGAGGGAGCACTGAGATGGTCAATGGAGCGCAGCAAAAATCCCTGCCCAGCCCAGCTGGCTCAGGATAAAACATTTCCTTTATTCTCAAATTAATGTGGAAAACCAAAGCAGGTTAAGTGGGGAATAATCCTCAAGGGGCTGAAACCCACCTCTGTACCTACTCCTTTGACCCTATTTCCTATCCCGTAAGATTAAGCTTTATTTTGTGCATGCCTCAAGGAAATGTTTTATCTACCCCTCAGAGCAGAGGAGCAGATTTTCCCAGGGAGCTCATCTGAGTTCCCAGCCAGGGCTTTTTCCTGACGGAGCCAGAAGGAAGAATGAGGAGAGAAAGATGATAAACTCCATTCACTTCAGGACAAAAAGATCATTAACTAACTTCAATATTTTGGTCCCCACCCATGGAGATTAAGAGGGATCCCATAGACAAGTTCCCCAAAAGGAAATAAACAGATAATAAAATCAGTTGACAATTTCCTCTACCTTCTT